GCCATGCAGAGGCTGTAAGGAGCCTGGCCCCAACCTTCCCGGTGACCCTCTTGGAGGTAAAGGGCTGCTCTGCGGGCCCCCAAAGCCCCCCTTCTCTGGGAAGCAGGACTGGGGGGGGTCTGCAGGGGAGCAGGAGCCGAGCTTGTACCACCCCACCCCTTCCCCTGCATCCGGGCGGTGAATTTGCAAGCGTGTGGTGTTCGGTGGCTTTACGAACCAGCAGACGTCTGCGAACAGCTTCACCGCACACACGGCCGTGAAGTGGCCGTTATTTAAGCTCCTAATTAGCCACAGAGGAGGCAAAGGAGGCGACTGGTCTGCAAACAACCTGGCCTAGGAGAGGACCGACATTTCTACTCGTCTGTGCGTATATACATGGGTGACTGTGGTGCAAACAGCCGTCACTGCAGGACGCGAGGCTGGAGAAACGCCTACTCACGCGAGGGTGTCACTCCATTTATTAAATTTAAGCGATATTTGCTTCCAGGCAGACAGACAGATACACGTTTAGGAGTTTCCAGTTACCGAGCGGCTTCCAACGCGCTCATGGCCTGGACTCCTGCCTTCCCTCGCTGCCGGAACGGGCCAGGGCAGAGCCGAAGCGCAGACCGTTCCGCCGCACCGCTTCGGTCTCGGGCACGAGCTGGCGAGCGGACACCCGCGTCACCGCAAGGGCCCAGCGCTCGGCTTCGCTTGCTGCCCATCCTACCAGCAGCCGCACCAGTACCGCGCCGTGGGGAATAAATCAGCACAACGCTTCGTAATGACGAATACCGGGGGTGTTTCTGATTCCGCGCACCACCAGGCCACCATTTTCGGTGCCTCTGTATGAGACAGGGGACGCTTGGCGCGCCCGCTCCGGTGGCCGAGGCCAGGCTCACCTTGCTTCCACGCACGTCACTCCCACACAGCCCTCGCAGTTGTTCCTCCCGATTTCACGGGGCTGAGCGCAGGCCAAGCCCGATCGCCAGCGTCGGCATCAGCCGATCACAAACCTCGTGGCCGAAAGCCCGGTTTTGTTCCTCGGGACGCCTGACCTGGCCTTGGTCTGTGCCTTAGCAAGGGAAAAGAAAGAAAACTCCAAACTCAGCTTAAACGAAGAAGAAATAAAACTGCCCTGTAAATACAGGTTTAAGTCTCCAGCCTTTTTATTTATACAAGGATTCAAAGAACGTATTTCAACTTTAGATAAACAGTGCAAGAGAGTTACAAGTACCTTGGTAACAGAAAGAAATCGGTAACTGTCTGGCTATGCCAATAAGTGAAATAATTCTTGCTCCTGCAGATAGAAATGCATTTCTTCAAAGCAAAGGTGGACTTTAGATATTTCGCTACACCTCAGCCCCTACCAAGCCCACCGGCAAACAACAGGCGGTTTGTCATGTGTAAATGATGAGTAGCTGCGCTCTGAGAGCCGCCCGAGACCCTCGCCCTCGGTTAAAACATACGCGCTACGGCACGAAAGAGCAGGCGCAAAGACAGAGACGCTTGGAAAGCCGCTGCTTCTCGGGTCCTTGTTCGTGTTTCTTCCTCGCCCACCACGCCCCGCCGCACCCCTGCGACGCCTTTTCAAACCAAAGCACCACGAACCACCGCCTCGGTGACACCGGAGCCAACGTTCCCCGCTCCCAGGAGCCTCCCAGCTCCCCGAA